CCCTCACCTCCCCTCTCTCCTGAGGAACATCTGCAGGCCCTATTGGTGGGTGGGAGAAAGACCCTTTGGTACCCAATTAACACAGCATTACCACTAAGCCCTCTCCCAGTTGCCATCTACCCCTTCTGAGAGAAAGAACCAGGCTCCTGTAAGGGCAGCTAGAAGGGCAAGAAGCCACCAAGGACCTGCTCCCATCAGGCCAACATCCTGAGTCCCCATGCCCTACTCCCATCCATACTCACTGCTCCACTGTCCTCACGTCAGGCCTTCTGTCTTCTGACCTGGGGTCCAATTCCACAGCCCAGCATCTCAGCCAAGAACCTCCTAGAGAACAGACACCACCAAACACTGACCTACTGTCGCCCACCCTTCTCCAGTGGCCACAGGAGATAACCACGTACCACCCCACTGTGTGTGTTGATGCCTCTCGGCTTTTCCTAGCAAGACCCTCCAAGGCAGAGGTGCATCACATCAGAGTCCCGCCCACCAAGAGCTTGCTGAAATTCAGATCCCCAGGCTGGGCCCAGGATTTTCATTGATAGGTCCTCTGAAGACACCAGAGGTCTGCATTACAACAAGGTCCTCAGGGCATGCTGAGGGGTGCAGAGAACCCGAGGATAAAAGCCACAGGGCTGACTCCCCACCCTCATCTATCCCCAGGCCCTATTTTATTTGAATCCTATCACCCACACCTGAAGCCTTGTAAGAGTTTGGGCAGAATATTAACCCCCTGGCCATCCTTGCCCTCCTTGGCCATTCTGTGTACCCCATGTCCTCCACATCCCTGGCTCTCATTCTCACTGGTCCCCTATGTCAAAGGGCTGCCCAAGGTCCTGCCTCAAGCCCACCATTCAGGGCTGACACTGCTTTCAGCACCACTTCAGACCACCCTTCCTGCGAGCTGCATCCAGCCCCTCGCAGGAAGCTGGATGCACGGGGTAGGGAAAGTTAGCAGGAAGGCACAGGGTAACACCCTCAGGTCTTTCTGAGTCTTATGATAATTTTTATCTATAAAACAATGAGGTTGAAATGGAGTTGTTTTGGCTAGAAATTTCCATGAATTTTTGGTTATCTAACCATCTTTCCTCTTCCTGTTGTCCTTATTTTGCTATTATTTGTACATTCATCCAGGCATGAAATTTCAGAGTAAGACATACCAGTAAAGTTTAAGTATTTGAAGCCATGAGAGGAAAAAAAATTAAACTTCTGTATTGGTATGGGAAAAGCAGTAATAATTGTAGGGTAAAATGGAAATAAGTTCACACTTTATTTGATTAGCATTTTTTACAGATTTATAGTCATTAGTTTGACATAAAATTTATTGACCCTGATGAAATCCCCTCCCCCTCGCCCCCCCACATTATTTTGGCCGGTCAATTTAGCAATGCGGAGGCCTGGGGAAAACAGTAATAATTTGTGAATAAACAAATGTATTTTTCTTCAAGTTTTTGGAGGATGAAACAAAAAGTTTTTGGAATTGTTTCAGTATTGGGGTTTTTTCCACTTTGGCTTTTTCCACTTCTACCTTGAGGTTGTCCTCTTCACTCTTGTCTTATTAGTCATTTTGTCTTGTCAATTGTTCCTTCAAAATCATTCTCTAGCTGGTCCACTTCTGACCCTCACCAATGTGGGGCAGCAGTCCACCCCGCACATTATGTGATTTTCCTTTTGTTTGGGAATAAAAGGATTCTTAAACAGGCTCCTGTGGAACACTGGTGTCCCTGGGTGTACTGGGGCATTATAATGCCAAATACTGGTGGCCTTTCCTCGGTCTGCAGGGGGAAATGGTCTTAGTGGACAGAATGTTTTCAATTAAAAGTTTGTTTTCCCCTTGGTTCAAGATCACCACCACCACAATGGAATAACCTTGTGCTTGCTATCACTTGTACTAAAAAAAACCAAAATTTTGCAGAAAGCAAAATTTTAAAAATCAAGTAGGATTCTGATTTCAACGGAAAAGCTCAGGGGTGGCCTGTAGTGCGATGTGTAATGCTGGTTTGGGGAGCAAGCTCTTCTTTGGGGGATTCAGCTCCCCAGTGAGCCTGGTGTGTGTGTGTGTGTGTGTGTGTGTGTGTGTGTGTGTGTATGTGTGTGTGTGTGGTGGTGGTGGTGGTGGGGAGTCTTGGAAATGCACAGTGACCCGATGCCAGGCCAATCAGAATACTTCTGACCACTGTGACTGGTTCAGGGATGGGAATGGGATTCCAGACTTTGGGGCTGCCCCTGGAGAGGGAGATTGGGTCTTCCTTTTGGAGTGTTAGGCTGCTGGTGGCATACAGGAAGCTTATTGCAGGGGAGAACGTGGATGGTGAGGGTTCTGATGAGATCTGAGTGCCTGGGCCCAGCTGAACTTGAAGCTGGTACTACCCTGGACTCCTCTTACAGGAACCAAGCCATTCCCTTTCCGTCATGGATCAGAAATGGGGCATATGGTCATTTTCTTTGGGCATGACTCTTCCCTAGATTGTACGATAGAAATGAATACAGTGGGGCTTTGACTTACGAGTTTAATTCGTTTCATGACGGAGCTCATAACTCAAATTACTCATATGTCAAATTAAAAAGTGAACGAGTGAGACACGTGATGCCGGGCTGATGTTGTGGCGTTCACTGTGATGTTCACTGTGCCAACTAGTGGTGGGGTATCTGAAGCTGGCTCATAACCCGAATTTTAGCTCGCAACTCAAAGCAAAAAATCGAGAGACGCCTTGTATCTCAAAAAACTCGTTAGTTGGGACACTCGTAAGTCAAGGCCCCACTGTACATTGGTATTTCTCCAAGCTCCTCAGAGAGCCCTGTGATTTTCAACAGCTTCACCTGAGGCCCTCTGCTCCAAATTTCACTTTCCTCATGCCTACCCCACCTGGATGCCTTGATTCAGGGGCGCCCTATGTCGAGCATGCCCAGTATCCCCTGTGGGCTCCAGGGTGGAGACAGGCTCCCTTTCTGGTTCCCAGGAGCCCTTTCCCATTTACTGTCTCCCCTTACCTCCCTGGCAATTTTTGGGGGGTAATTCCCAACCCCTGGCAGTTTCTGAGAAGCACAAGCACAGACACTCCAAGGTTCAAACCTGGCCCTGTAGGTGGGAGGCTGGAGGCTCTGAGGAAAGGGGTTGTGGGGTGCATTATATAGCTGCCAACTTCCTCCCACAATTCTCTTAGCTCCTCTCAGGCAGTTTTGCATGTGGCTGTATGTGACTAATTGATCACATAGAATCTCCAAACCCAAGACCACCACCCTCCAACCCAGGGGAGGCTGCACCCTTCACTGTGGGCCAGCTTCCAAGCCTTCTCACTGGGGCACTTGCCTGGTCCGGAGGCCCCTGCGTAGGCCCCTGCGTGCAGGGTGGGACAGGAAGCAGGGTCTCTGTGGACATGCAGCCTCAAGGCGATGCCCCACCCTGGTTGGCTTTTTTCTGGGAAAGGCAGAGGCCCCTCCTCCCCACCCGGTGGGGGTGTGATCGGTGTCCCTGTTGGCAGCCCCTCCAGGCCACCTGTGGTGGGAAGCACCTGTCCTAGCCACAGGCAGGGAAACCGCTGGGCAGATGGGGTTGGGGCCTGCAAGGGGAAAGTTGGGCATTTGGGTTTCGTTCCTCTAGAGCAGTGATTTTTCAACCCTTTTCATCTCACGGCACACATGAACTAATTTCTAAAATTCTACAGCACACCAAAAAATATATTTTTTTGCTAATCTGACCCCAAAAAAGGTATAATTTCGATCCATTCACACTGGAAGGCTATTGTTGTGCTGGCTGTTGTCATTTTTTTTTAAATTTGATTTTGAGAAAGAGAAACATCAATTTGTTGTTACACTTATTCATGCATTCATTAAAAAATATATTTTTATTGATTTCAGAGAGGAAGGAAGAGGAGAGAGAGAAACATCAATGATGAGAATCGTTGATCGGTTGCTTCCTGCACATCCCACACTGGGGATCAGTCCCACAACCCAGGCATGTGCCCAGGAATCGAAGTGTGACCTCCTGGTTCATAGGTTATCTCAACCACTGAGCCACACTGGCTGTGCCATTGCTTGATTCTTGTATGTGACCTGACCAGGGATCACAGCCGCAACCTTGGCTTATCAGGATGCTCTACGCAACTGAGCTATGCAGCCAGGGCTTGACATTCTTTTATTTGACATTCTTTTATTTGAAAAGAGGTCAGTGCCAAAAAGAAAATGAAGAAGAAAATAAATAAATAAATAAATAAATAAATAAATAAATAAATATAAAAAAAGAGGTCAGTGCCCCTGACTAAATGGTCAGGGATTGCATGTTTTAAAAGTTCTTGCGCACACTGGTAAGTCGCTGCTCTGGAGTTCCGGGGCTTTGCGTCCTCTGCCTTAGAACGCGGTTCCAAGGCCCATGCCACTAGGAGCCCAGGGAGGGTGTCTGCAATCCAAGGCAGGCAAGGACAGTGGCTCTGCCACCTGGGACAGGTACTGCACCCTTCGTGCCTTGGCTGTCCCCCACTTGTAAGGCGGAGTGGCTGCCTCGCAGAGCTCTGGGATTAAACGAGGGGACTGGTCTCTGAAGCAATGGTTCCTGCTGCAGCCTAGAATCCACAGAACCCACAGCCCTGCTGAGCAGTTGGAGATGAGGGTGGGGGCACCTGGGGATGCGACGACTCATAGGGACCTGTAAGCATGGGATGGCTTTTCTCTGAGACCCTGGGAGTGCCCACACCCAAGCCAGGGTGGTTTCTCCACATAGAATTTTATTCTGAAGGCCACTCTGAGGTCTGAGGAAGGGAGGGGGAGCCCCAGCAAAGAGGCTCTCTGCGGAAGCAGAGGGGCAAGTACCCGTCCCAGGTTGTGGGCCATTTCCTCAGCCCCACCCGAGGACACCTCGGGACTGGGTCTACAGCAGGGGTGGGCAAACTTTTTGACTCGAGGGCCACAATGGGTTCTTAAACTGGACCGGAGGGCCGGAACAAAAGCATGGATGGAGTGTTTGTGTGAACTAATATAAATTCAAAGTAAACATCATTACATAAAAGGGTACGGTCTTTTTTTTTTTAGTTTTATTCATTTCAAACGG